CCAATAAAAAAGCATTTCATGCCCCTCTTAGAGAACCAGCTTGGTATCTAATATACATGTGGGGTCTGTTTATCTGTGACAGCTGCATAAGCCTGCGCTAATTTCCCAACCTATAGCAAGCCAAGACATCTGCACCAAATGCTCGCTTGGCTCAAATCAAACTGCTGACCTAGCATAGGGTGGAGTTTGTTATGGGAGCTGTGTGAGCCTTAAAAATAAGAAGAGCGCTCCTAGTTTCCTATACTGCAGTCAATGGATTGGCATTGCAGATAGTAGTACAGTTTGTTAAATATGTCATACTGTCTTAAGGTTCTAGCCAGTCATGTCTAATTTTTCATAAAAAAATGCATTTTTTTAATGTTTCATCAGCAGAGCGATCAACACCCATGGATAAAACAATACATCATGCTGAATGGATTGCACTTCTATCCCTGACAGCCTTGTTTTCCAACAAGGAGATGGAAAATTTAAGGGTTGGCCACCAAACAAAGCTTGAGAGGCAAAATATGAAACCAAAATGAACATTATTACCTTTCTTAATACATGTTCCTGTGCCTGGGCAGACTAAAGAAGTGATTTACTACATCACTATGAAGTGATTTAAACATTTCACAACGATCTATGAAGAAAACAATTGATTGTTGTGTTCTAGCTACTAAGTGAATCAATCACTATTGCCACACACATTCACAAATATTGGTATTATAAATATATACTACTGTTCAAAAGTTTGGGATCTGTAAGAATTAATTTTATATTCCACAACTAATATGCTGATTTGGTGCTCTGGAAAAAATGTCTTATTGTTATCATCAATGTTGAAAACAGTTGTACAGCTAATTTTTGTGGAAACCGTGATGTGTGTTTTCCAGGAGTCTTTGATGAATAAAAATCACTTTTTATCACTTTTGATGTTACATTCTTTCATAATATAAAATCTTACTGACCCCAAACTTTTGAACTGTAGTGTATGTAGTTACGCACAAACAGAATATTGATTACTTAATTTCCAAACTTTTCCTCCACATTAGAAGAGTGACAAGTTATTGCAAGTGAGAGTTAAAGGGATACTCCAACCAAAAATGAAAATCCTGTCACCATTTTCTCACCCTCAAGTTATTGCAAACCTGTATGAGTTTCTTTCTTCTGCTGAACACAAAGGAAGATATTTTGAAGAACGATTGGAACCAAACAGTTGTTTGGCACCATTGACTTCCATAGTAGAAAAAATATATACTATGGAAGTCAATGGTGCCAAAGTTCCAATCGTCTTACAAAATATCTTCCTTTGTGTTCAGCAGAAGAAAGAAACTCATACAGGTTTGCAACAACTTGAGGGTGAGTAAATTATGACAGAATTTAAATTTTTGGGTGGAGTCTCCCTTTAATAATTTAGTTCAGAGCACTAGAGTTTAACGAGTTAATCAGATTACAAGCACCATGTGATGGAAGAGAGGAAGGTTTTTCTTCTTTATACTATACATAGGCAGCATTGGTGGAGTACCACTGACTAAAGCGTGGTAGAGTAACGCTTTAGAACTAGGGCTTTTCGATTATGGCAAAAATCATAATCACGATTATTGGTGGGCGATACGATCAAAGTCTTATTTCAAGATACGAGTAATTTTAAATATCAGTGAAATTTCACAATTATCGATACTTTAGCAAAAACTAATGTTAGGTTAACTTTAGTAAAAAAAACAATTCCTCAAAATAAATACTTAAGACAAATAAACAGTCAGCAATATAAAAGAACAAATAAACTAATTACAAACTAAACTGACAAATAAATAAACCAGAACATAAGTACAAATTAAATAAACAGTGTTTTAAAGGTGCTGTATGTAACTTTTTCACTCCTCTAAAGCATAAAAATACCACAATATGTTTGCAGATATTTAGGAAAAGTTCACACACTCGTTTCTCTGTAAAACACTTCTATAGCCAGTTATTTTACTTATTGTTTTACACGTTCCGTGTTGTCAGTCGGTTTTTGTTTTGGTCTGTGTGATCTCGCCCACTGCCAGTTCACCCAATAGAATTTCGACACCCCGGGATGCCAGTTAGAAGGAAACACAGCGTATTGCAGCCAGCAAACAAACTGGGTCAGAGATTACAGATTCCACACAACCTAAAAAGCCTCGGTATCATCTAAAAATCTCAATGAACGAAAGTATATTAAAACGCGTATAAATCAACTCATCAACTGACGAGGAGTAAGTCTCCTCGGCAACAAATTGCACTCGTTCCTGTAGCGTGTCCTTAATAGAGGCCTGCATTTCAGCCCGAGCCCGACGGGCCCCGACTTATTTATGCTCCTAGGGCCGGGCTTCGGGCCAATTTTCACGTCATAGTTCACACGCGGGCCGGGCCTCGGGCCTGTTTTAGGCTTATCTTTTTTATAGCCTATTTTAGACATTAGTTAAAATAAAACATGAGAAGATGACGATTGAAAAGCAAACATAGAAAGACGTTTTATAACCTATCACACTGACATAAGACTGACACATGACAGTCTCATGCTCATGCTCACGCTCACGCACACACACACACACACACAGGTTTCCCGGCGGCGCGATCTGAGATTCGCGCGACCGGCTCGTTCTAGTGTCCCGCTATGGTAGCGAGCGTGACTTCAGCGCAGCTGGAAAAAGTACGACTGGATTAAAACCTTCCACTGTGGATGCTGTGCTTTTTCTTCACGATGCTCTGAGACTGTTCTTAGCCATGTTAGGAGGAGGTTGTTTTTTGTTTGATTGGACTTTATTTTCATGAGTCTGTTGGAAACTATTGGAAATGGCCATGTTCTGTAGTGAAGACTTGATTTTTGAGGTAAGATAACCTGCATGTTTGTTTTTAATGTAATTTATTTGATTTGTTTAGATTGCATTCTCTGTATTGTAGCCTATATTATAAATTCATTTAGTTTGCGAGCGCTGTTGCGACTGAGCAGCAGAGCAGTTTGCCTCAGCTTTTCAAAAATGACAATAAACGTTTAAACTAACGTTAACTGTCTGTGTGATATGCTTAAGTTGTTTTATATCTATGGATTTTATTGTAGCCAAGTAAAGTGTTGATTTGAGAGGCTATAAATCAATCAATGGATCAAACATGTTTAACTCGCTGTCGGCTGCTTGGTCGTCATAAATTTTGTTTTTTGTTTTTTCTTAATTAACTTTATAAAGAAATGAAAATAAACCTACCGGTAAATACTTTGCCATTGAAAACAAAATATATCTGGTTTACTGACTGCAACATAGGTCAGGCTGTTTATATATATATATATTTTTTTTTTTTTACGGGCTCGGGTCGGACTCGGGCTGATCATTCTGATGAGCTGTCGGACACGGGCCGGGCTAGGGCCTGAGCGTCTCGGGGCAGGGCCGGGCTAGGGCCTAGATTTGAGGCCCGTGCAGGGCTCTAGTCCTTAAACTGGCGACCCACATGAGCGTCGAGTCTGAGGAGGAGGGGGCGGGGGAAGCAGCGATCTCCGATATTTTGAATTTGGACTGCAGTGCCCATTTCGACCACTAGCTGTCATTTTTACAGACTGCTCCTTTAAGTTTTTCAGGAGGCTGTACTAGCAGTGGTAATCATATAAGTAATAGCCTTCAACAACAAAAACTTAATAATCAAATGTGAAATTAACACTGCATAGTCTTACTGTACATCAAATATTGATTAATCCTTATTAAAGCGAAGTTATTCAGTCAAAATCAGTAAATGATTTTCCATTGTCATTTGTTGTTTGATTAACATTAATGACAGGAATATTATGCTGCTGTCACTTTAAAATCTATGCATGGATCCAATATAATGTTACACACGTATTTCTTTCTCAACTGTGTATGTTTACTTAAGACATAACCCATCGTGTTTACACGAATACTCTCCAAAAAGGCATTTTGACATTTTTTCTGTGTACGCGTTTAAGCGCGAATCCGAAGCCCATTTGCTTATCCGCGTTTGGCTCCGACTCGGAGTGCGCACACAAAAAGCCAACTGGGAAACAGTATCTCTTTTGCGGCTTCATGGGCTTTTAATATCAAATATCACTGTTTAATATCAAACACGTCCCACAGTTTAGCAACAGCGAACTGCATTTTACAACACTCACTTATTTTGCTGATTTGGAACTGTAATCCATTCCATTTAATCTATGAAAAGTGAAATAAATAATAATCTATAAATTATATTTTTAATATCGGTTTCATCAGATTGTCTTGATAATGTGTTCTGCCTTTGATGACTTTACAAAAGATACTCTAGAACTGTAAAGTGATGATATCACAAGATAACTGTATGATAAGCCTTATCCATACACCATGGCATAACATGACGCTCCAAGGTATTTTTAAACAATACTGTTGTATTGCTATGGTACAAAAAAATGTGAGTGGAACACTTGGAATAATGCAGAGTGGAAGAATGTAAATCACAAGGCCAAGTGCACAAGATAAATAAATAAAACATGCCAAAGAAATTATTTTTGGCCATTGCTCTATTCCAATCCATTTGGATGGCAAACATATCCTAAAATCAAGCTGCATTCATGATTTGGAGAGAGAACCGAACACCTACAGGATGTTTTGAGAGCTGAAATGTTTGTAGCCCTCAGTATGTTATAGGCCCTGTCTGAAGCACACACTCAAAAATCCTCTTTCAGATCCAGAACTTCCTGTTTGTACCACACCTAATTTCCCTCGGAGAACACTCATTTGTTATCAGACTGTTATCTCTCTCCTTTTCCTCTCTGTAGTCTCTTGGTGGCCAATAGGAAAATCCTCCATAGGTCTTCTTGAACGAAGATATTCACACGACTCTGTCTTTAGCAATGTGCTACAAATCGAACCAACTTTATGTGACTACCTCCAAGGTGAGATCTGACTCACCGTCATAGATCATCATTCCATTGACAACATTCATATAGCCTTGTTATTTAAGTGTGCGTCACATAAAACTGCTAAAAAATGTCTATCGTATAAAACTGAGTTACTCACCCGGCTGGGTAGGCAACCAGTCCTGAGTGTGGATCACATGCCAAAGCACGACTCCCAGCGGAAGTGATTCCCAGAACTTTCTCCAACGTCACCTGTGGAATTACATGGAAAATGAGAAATAACTAAAGTTATGATGTGCATTACAAGATCTGTAAAGTTACAAGAGTCTTTAAATGTCACACAACGTGAACTAATAACTCAATAATAATAACCCAATCTCACGGGAAAACATAACTATTTTACGAGGTGGCGATTTCATATGAATTCTGCGAGTTGTACTTTACTTTAATTTATTTGTTTGCGGGGCAGTGCACATTAAAAAACAGAGATGTAAATGTGCCAGAATTAAACAAACGCTATTTTTCATCAGACCCTCGACAGAATGTTAAAAAGTCACCCTAAAAACAATCTTATATTAATACACACACAAAAGAGAAGAAAACATAAAAAACAACATTCACATTATCAAATAAAAAAATACAAGTACATGATTCTGGAAATCAGGCTAAAATACACTAACAGAAAATTGTCTAAACAACATATACGAAAATGTATTATTATTAAAAAATTGAGCATGAAGTTCCCCTAACCCCACCACTAAACACATAAATGACAAAGTACAAATTCAAACAAATTAGCCATCAATTCGCCAAAATATAAAATAGTTACGAATCGCCATTAGATTGTGTTGAATAAAATGATATCATTATTTGAATGATGAAATATAGCCTAGGCTAAATAAAAATTAAACATCTAAACAAAGGACAAATCACAAATACAGTTTAAGCAAAATGTCAGTTAAATTACATAACTTTTCCATAATTATATTACAACAACATTCAGAGTCAATGAATGACTGCAAATAAATTATGTGATTATAGTATAGACATCATATCTATTTAGCCAAGATGAGTTGGAAAATTACAGCAACAACACATTTACTTGAAGACCACTTATTAAAATTGTTGCACGACTTTGTTAGAGACCTAAGAGACTTTAAATGCGGGCAGAAAGAACCTTAGAGACTTTAAATGCACGCAGAATGAGTCTACTAAGCAATGCCCCAAAGTGGTGTTGTCATCTTAAAAAAATATTATGAGCTAGAAATTTTCCATGAGACTTTGTTAAAGGGACAGTTCACCCAAAAATGAAAATTCTTGGGTCATCATTTCCTCAGCCTCAAATTGTCCCAAACCTGTGTGAATGTTTTTTTCTGCTAAACACATTCTTCACAATATCTTCTTTTGTGTTCAACAGAAGAAAGAAATTCATACAGGTTTGGAACAACTTGGTGGTGAGTAAAAATAATGACAGAATTTACATTTTTGGGCGAACTATCCCTTTATATATGAACTACATAAACTCAAGGTGAAACATTGATTGAGGCAAATGAACAAATTCAAATATAAAATTCACGAATCTACAAACAGTAAACAGGCCATGTATCGTTTCAATAGCATTTCCATTACAGCGTCCATTACAACTGCATAAGCGCTATGCATACGCACGAGTAATAACATGCTTAAAATGCCAAAATTTGGTGAAACGGCCTGCAATTAGTTGTTTTATGATTCAAGATTGCATAACATCTGTATAAGATGAACACATAATAGTGTCATTCTAACAAAAATTAAGGTATGCACATGCACTAGGTGTTTAGTTTTCAACATTTTAAGTGCAATACAATACACCACATACAAATTCGCTTACTGAACATCTGCACCTGTCTGTTCAACATCTGAAACCTTTATTCTGTGCATTAAAACCTCTGCCAGACCACCTCTTCAAAGCAAGCATGGTCACATCCCAGCAGAGAACACTCTCACATCAATCACATGCCACTTTAAGTACAGGTCAATGGAGAAATGAGAGGAACAACACCTGGTTTATGAAGTAGTCTCCTCTAATTCTGCCATCTTAGACCATTGTCTTTCCATTTATTGCAGTTTTATCCTTCAAAAATGCAGGTTTCAAGAAGTCTATAAGGCAAGGTTGAAGATGCTACGTATGTACATTTATTATCCTACTGTAAGCTGAATGTAGCCCCAATGTACTACCACAATTTGTGCTGAACATGCCGATATAAAAAGCACTGTAATTGAGGTTGTTGCTTTGATTTATCATCTTTCCAAAGATGCTTTGACAGACCTCCATATATCCACTGTATATTAGTGCCTTAGAGTGCTGGAACAACAGAAAAATAACTAGTTTTCAAATGCATGCGGTTTTTAAGCCATTTCTCATTCAGCATCTCTCATGGGATATTTCTGGACCAACGGCTGTATCATGCACTTTTACCAGAAACTTTTTTGCAATCGCTATATGTCGAATCCTCAGAGAAAGGCAAAGACCTTGAGTCAGAAGTCAATGAACTGCACAGCACCTGGAGGAATGGTTTTGATTTCGATGCAGCGTGTAAACCTTCGAAAACAGAACCCAGTCTAAAAGCTGAACTGATATATGGTCTTACAAAATGCTCAGATCTCTTTGTTTGCCTCCAAAAATTCCTCTGACACCAGAGATTCCTCAACTGCTTTAGGCAGAGAGAGAGAGAGAGAGAGAGAGAGAGAGAGAGAGAGAGAGAGAGAGAGAGAGAGAGAGAGAGAGAGAGAGAGAGAGAGAGAGAAGAGAGAGAGAGAGAGAGAGAGAGAGAGAGAGAGAGAGAGAGAGAGAGAGAGGAGGGAGAGGGAGAGGGAGAGAGAGAGAGGAGAGAGAGAGAGAGAGAGAGAGAGAGAGAGAGAGAGAGAGAGAGAGAGAGAGAGAGAGAGAGATCTGCTCTTTTATACAGAACAAAGGCACCTTGACTGAGTCTTTTGCATAACACTTAAATGGTAGCATACAGTGATCACCACAAACTCTGATAGTACCACTCTAATTATGTTTTTTTTTTATGATGAATTGCATGCTTAATGCATGAAATGGATGTAGTTGGGGCCCATTATTTGCAGAAGATGTCTTCTCTGATCAATGCAATATTAAACTAGTCTTTATAATATTGCAGTGCTTTGCAAACATTCAGTAACATATATTTTTTAAATTGCTTATTATATTCTGGTCCTACAATAGCCTTGGGTGCCTCCATTGTAAGAGTATGTAATTTTGTCACAAAATTCGCCACTGGCCGAAAGAAAAGCATACATCTGATCACATAGAGAGGTAATAGAGGAGGTAAAATCTCCTCCACAAACCACACAGTCTGAGGTATCGTTCAATTCTGTAGCACAAACAGTGAAGTTTAATATGTTAGTTATGGGCATAACTCTAAAGTTGAGCAATAACCTCAGACAACACCAAAATACAGACTAGTGGAACATTCCATATAGATATGGATTTGGTTACTAAACATGTGGTAGTGCGAACAACAGTGTTTAATTTATGAGCAACAAATCATATGCAGCTTAAGTCTCAGAGTAATTTAAGGCATTCATCTCAGTTGCAAACGGTCTCAACAATCACACAGTCACAGGGACTCCTGTGTATGAAAGGGAAGTACAGTCAGTCACCCAAGGGTCTGCAGCAGTAAACAGGCCATCTGAATGGAATGCAACAGTCAGGGATGATGATTGCTGCGATTCAATAATAGTTACAGTTACAATAACAAGAGCAAAAGAACAGTTCACAGATTTACAGCAGAATAAGGATGAATGCTAAAAGAATAGCCTAATAAATATATCTTATACATTGCACACTTGTATGTTAGAGATGCCGTGCATACAAAGCGTTTAGTTTGAAACACAGACATGTTTAGAGTTTGAGTTGGTAAACCTAGAAGTATCTAAATCCATAAATCCATATCTCCTGGCATCCTATCCTAGCGCATATTTGTGCATTATATTTACACAACATGCATTGTACCATTGCTTTAAATTATTATAATATAATTATTTTTAAAAATGTGTCCTAAAAATGAATCTCTAAACTGAAAAAGCACCCAATATTATATTATACTGACTGTTTAAAACCGAGGAGTGATTAAGGTTACTGTAAATCCCAATGCATATTTGTGCAATTTATTACCAATGCTTGAAAATTAATTCAGTGCAATGCAATTTATTATATTATTGTGCATTATATTTCCCAGCATGAGTTTAACAGGGATTGAAATGATTTGTGACATGTGGCAAATATAGGTCAGTGCATTTTACAGCCTTCTTACTGTTGCATTGTACTGACAGAGCCACAATATGCCTTTGTAAAGTTTACATAACAAACCCTGGAAAAAATCTGACATATTAGTGTCAATTCACTGACGCCTTGCATTAAACTGCAGAAAATCACAGCGATACATGATATGATACATTTACAGGCAACTGCAGATACAGATTCCACACATGCTCCGTGTCATACAGTAAACGCACTGTACCTTATTACTGAGATTCTCTTTGTTGATCCCAGCTTTACTTCTTCTCAATTTGATGGAAGGCGACCGGAGCAGATTTTTAAGGCGACTTTTGATAGTTGTATTTTCCACTGTCATCTTGATTTGGTGTGCTCTTGAATCAACGTTTCCCAACAAACAAGCGGAAGCCCTTCGCTCTACTGTCACAGCTGATGATCAATTAAAAGATACGCGTTTAAAGTAAGCCATGGTCTGATCATAGCCTTTTATTTCAGAATACTAAACCAATCCACCGGAACCGTCATCGCGATAAATCCAGTGTGGTTGTCCTGCCGGTGAGAGACGCGCTCCTCTCTAACGTCCATTTGTTAAAATGGACCATGTTTCGTGTCGAGAGTCAGCAGTTTGACGGTCTGAAAGCTCCGCGAATCACCTCCAGCCGTGATACCTTCACCGGTACAGTGTGTGTATTTACAAATCCTACTACTGTAAAGGCCAGGCTCATGAATATTAATTATAGAATGCGAGTTTGTTCTGTCACTTTTATGATTGGCTGAAACGCTGACGTCGGGAAGCGGACGCTAGGCAACTGGCCAATTAACGACTTTGCTATGGGGAAATGCTTGACCTCTTAATATTAATGAGATGACGTGCCTTGAAACCCATAGTTGAAACCCCGGGAAGGTTACGAATTAACGCGTGCTTGACCTAATTAATATTAAGATGAGCCTTAGCCATAGTATACATTATTACGCATGCACACATTACTACTAGGTGGATTATACTGCTTATACGGGCGGTTGTGTGACACTGCAGTGTTTCCCTATGGTGTAGACAATTAGTTTACTTAAGGCAAAGTGTTTATTTTGATGTTTGCAAATAATAGGACAAATAGTAGAACAGAGAACTGTGGCATTGCGCCAGATGGGAAATCCAGTTTAAAATTATAACTGCGTTTTAGAACATGGGTAGCTGGTCCAAGACCAAATTTACCAGTATCCTACTACCTGCTGGCAATACCGGGCAGATTTGCATTTTACAGCAATGGTTCCAATGTAAAGACGGCACTGCATGATTGCAATTCTCCAGTCTAGACCGAATGCCATTCTGTGATCCCATGTAGCTTTCAATGGACATGGAACTTCGTAATATACATTTTCCAAGTACTCTGAAGGAAAGACAACACAGAGATGTCATAAACCTCCCTGCATGGCGAACAAGGAAGGGTATTTATTGCCGGAAAATAGAGATTTTTGACGAAGAACGAATTCAGCCTGGTGTGGCATTCAGACTGAAAATAGCAGTAATTGCATGACAAAAGCAACCGTTTAAAAATAATTTATCGCTTCATTACCTAAACATTTGTTGTAAAAAAAAAGTCTCAACTGAATCTCAAATGTTAACTTCAATGTAATTTAGTGTTAACATGAAGAATTTGGAATGAATTATTGTGTAGCCTATACCTATTTTTTTCCACATCAAGTCTGCCATCTAGTGATGCTAAGAAGTAGCCTACCTTTGGGTTTACTTTAGGTAATTTGTGTTTTATTAAACTGTGAACTCAACCTGACTAGCACATACTGTATGGCCGACTTTAGAACAGTTTCAATTTAGATTAATAACTCATTTGAAACGGAGTCAGACATACACAGATACAAAATAGATTATTTCCTTGCTTTGCCACAAAGTCATACATCTTTTATTTATAACAAACTACATCAGCAAGAAAACATCTTACATTTATAGTTATATTAAAGACATTAAATACATCAACTCACAATTGTGCAACTAGATATTTCTGGGTGGTCTTTAAAATATAATTTTATAATTTTTTTATTATTCTGCATTATTTCCGTTCTGTTTTTGGAACCATGAAGTTGGATCACACTGGTAGGTTCATCTGAAGGCCTTCCCAAATCTTGTTTCTTACTTACCTGTAAGAACTTTCTAGCCCAGTTTCCCAACACAACCATAGGAGAAAGTTCACCATGTCCACGCTGCATATGGAAAATTAAAGGATCAAGACATGCATTGAGACAGTACAGTATTTGAGAGACTTCAGAGAGCAGGTTCACCACCCATACAACCCAACAAGCATTTTTGCAGTGATCCAAAGTGAAGAAAATTATACAGGCAATGATATAAAGCAGCTGTCCTGGCACCCAACACACCAGGAAGTTGGCAATGAAAAGGGCAATTAGCCAGATGGTCTTGTCCAGGCCTTGCATGTTGCCTTGGCCCCACTGCTGCCTTGACTGCTTCATCCTGGAAATGATCTTCACATAGGCAGGAATGATAAGGAGCAGTGGGACAGAAACCTGAATGGAGTAGTAGGACATGAGATTGTAGGTTGCTTCAGTGGTCCTGAACTTCGAGATCACCACCACTCCACACACATGGATGCCATCCTTCCTGACCGAATAGAAAATGTTAGGATAACTGAAGTAGATAAAGAGGGCAGTGATGGCCCAGAGTAGAAGCGAAACCAGTGCAGTGTTCCGAGGGGTGCGGATCATCCTGGACTCCAGAGGGAAGACGATTGCAAGGAAGCGGTCGCTGCTTATGGCGCAGATGAACATGGTACTAGACGTCAACCCGACAAAGTATAGGATTTTCACCACAATGCAGAGCGAACGGCCAATTTTCCAGTGGTAGTCAGAGCTAACGTAAACAGCCCAGGGTCCCATAGAGGCCAAATAGGCAAGGTCACACAGAGCTAGGTTCAGTACACCAATGGACCCAATACTCCAAGGATGGGATGGCCGCAGACAAGCCCAGAGGCTCCATAGATTTCCAATTGTTCCAAGGATTGAAAGCATGTAAAAGACAAAAGGTATCAAGTTGGTGGCATACTTGCGGTTGGAGGGACAGTCCATGTGTGGAACCAAAGGAAGGGCCATATCATTGGAGTTGGTGCAGTTCTCTGTCCAATTGTTTACTGCTGACATTTCTTATGCTTAGTCTATATTCTGTTAAAAAGAAAGAGGCAAAATTAGTTACCTATCCCTTGTAACTAAATTCTTAACTATCCAACCATGATCCCTCCTGGAAATAGATCGGTAATTGCTCTTGGGACTTGCGAGCAAGGTAAAAACCATTAGTAGATAACCTACAATTACCTTGATAATTATTATGTAATTCTCTAAAGTCTGTATCAAATGTCAAATGAAACACTTCAGAGTCTTCAAGGTATGTTTTTGGACAACAGACGGACTCATCGACCTGGGCTGTTCCCCAAAAGCATCGTAAGCCTTAGTAGATCAAAATATAGATTAATATTTTGAGTATTAATATATTTGCTGATAACCATGCCCACACACGTTTTAACTTGAGCATGTTCATTTACATCTCATTTGTCTTTTGTATTAAATATCAGAATTTGGCCAAATGCTAATTGTTAAGACTAAAACAACACTTTAATAAAAAAATGCATGATCTCAGAAAAGCCCATTTTAGACTAAGCAATCAAAAATAATAATATTCGCATCTTCGAGATTTTTAATTAACCACAATTCTCAGTCATTAAATGGATTAAAACGTTCACTTTCACACATTATGAGCACAATTTTATTGACTTAAAAAGACATATCCATCTCTTTTACAAAGGAGTTAAGAGAGCACTGATTTATAGCATATAAAAAATAAGTATTTTAACAGACAGTTCGCAGACTAACAAAAAGAATACGTTTTACATATGTACAATAGCCAAATATGTTATACAAGCCAATATACAGACTTTAAACTAGCTAACTAATTTACAAAATAAACCAGTGTAACATAAAATATACAAATCTCATTTTATGAAGCCTTGTAGTTCCTATGTAGTTTTTCCTTTTCCAGTCTTGTCTAAATCTAACGCAAAACAATTGCATAGTGATGACTAAGCTCAAACTGAGGGATCCCTTGAAGTTATCCACCTCACTGGATGTGACAATAGCTTTAAAACCCCTTGAAATGCTTTAGACATTGTTAAATATGTTGCTGTTGAGGTGGGAAATATGGTGAAGCAAGTAGGGTTTCACAACTAAAACATTCAAAAGCCATAAACTGACTACTCAAATTTCACTGAAGACTTTCTAAACAAACAAAAAAAGGAAGAAAAAAAGTGGATAACTATATCCTTAATTTATTCCTAAATTCCTAATGCTAATTATATACCGTAGGTTGACTATTCCCTAAAACAAGAAACCTTTCTACGTCCCAATATGCATATATTAGAACCTTTTGAAAGGCACTCAACATATGTATACAAGCTAGCTTTTCTGTAACAAGAACATAGACTGTTTGTAGGGAACTTAACATCTATTATTGCTTTAACATGTATTCATGTGATGTGTTTAATAGACAGTGGTTTGTTTCAGAGAGATGGAAAGACAATAACATTTGTGTAATCTTATTAGCAGACACTCACAGATGAAACGGCTTTACTGTTAAAAGTCACTAGGCAAATTCAATTATTCCTAAAAAGGTCACCTGGAAAACCAACCATAACCATCCCCCAAAATCCCCAGAGCAAACGATTACAATCAGCTTGACCTTCATGGTGCTACGGGAGAAACAATCCTATGTTTAAAGATTAAGTAAACTATTTATTTGTATTTTTTAATGAACTTCAATGGGAAAGAACCCAAATGCTCCAATATGGAGATTAGGATGAGTTAACAGCTTCTTTCACATCTATTGCCACAAAGAGTGGATACACAATCGCTAGCAAAATCGGAGAATACAGAGAATCTTGCTGGTCAAGTAGGTTGAGTATTGAAAAAAAAGTCAAAATCAACAAAACGTCTTTGGATATACCAGAGGCACAACAGGTGGTACCTATGGCAGCAGGACTTGCACAGGAAACAAGAAATAAATACATTTAAAAAAGTTCTATTTTGTACACAAGCTAAATGTGAGCAGCAGCAAACCTGATTCATTGACTGGTAGATCACATTTGTGGTCTATTAACATCTTGCTCATTTGAGTCCGGTTTGAGAGCCGAAGAGCCAGTCACCTTATTTACAACAACATCTTGGGGCTTTAACCCTAGAGGAACCAGTTTAGGCATAGGCCGCCATGTCACATTGGTCCCTTCATTGGCAGATTGACCCGAAGTAGCTTCACATGCAGCCTTCATGTGCAACAGAGGTGGCGGAGTAGGAGCATCACTTTTAACATTGCACGTTGGGGCATTCGGACTTTCAACGTTTGTTGATGGTGCAACTCCAGATTCGGATGATACCGAAGGTGAATCTGACCCAAAGATGACTTTGACCAATTCATCCACTTTGGGTGGGATATCAATTTCATCTTTAGAGTCTGGAGACATCAGATCTTCATCTAGAGTTAGGAACAAGGGACTGAGAGCACGTTCATCATCCCGCTCTGCATCTGCCTGCTTGTCAGAACATGGCTGTACCTCGTCTGGCACGACAATTCTCTGATCTTCGTCTTCATTACTCAGCTGCTGGCTAAGAAGAACAA